CACGGGGAGGTAGCAATGCCAATCTGTCAGTACTAGGACGTGTCTCGTTAGATCCTAGGTGCGGGATGGGGATGAGGAGGGATTCAATTTGTTTTTTTATACTAGGGAAAGCCCTGCCCTTTCCCAGCAGTTGGACATTTTCCCTCAGGCTGTGCCATCCCTCCGGCCTGCCCCCTTCTCTGCCTCTTTCTCACCATGCCCCGCCGGCTTGGTGAGAGGAGGGAAATGGGCTCAGGGAAGCGGCTCGGGGTTATATCCAGGATGCCCGTTCTGCTGATTGCCAGGCTGCCACTCTAATTGCCAACAGCAGGAAGTTGGCAGCGGGGTGTTCCTCTCTGCTCCTGCGGCTCTACCCATCTGCAGTGATCCTCTGCGCCCTCTGCTGACCCCGAACTGCTTTGGAGCCCCCTGCAGGGGAGCCTCTGGGGTACATCGAGCTAATGGAGGGGTCCTTAAACCTTTGTACTGGGGACTCCTTTCACACAGCAAGCCTCCGTGTGTGACCCCCCCCCCTTATAAATTAAAACACATTTTTATATATTTAACACCATTATAAATGCTGGAGGCAAAGCGGGGTTTGGGGTGGAGGCTGGCAGCTCGCGACCCCCCATGTAATAACCTCGCGACCCCCTGAGCGGTCCCAACCCCCAGTTTGAGAACCCCTGAGCTAATGTCGTCTGTTGCTGCTGGGCCAGCAGGTGGCAGTGTGGACTGACACACAGGCCAGAGGCCGTACCGTAGGGCTGGCTGTTCTGCCTTGGGGGGGCAGTTTTCCGGCTGGGGTCCGGGGAGCACAGGAGGCAGAGGGAGACTCCTTTGCACGTTGACAGTAAAGCTCCCATTGGGAGAATTGTCTGTGTCTCTGGCAGCTAAGGTCAGGCACCTCCGTGCTAGTGTCAGGCACCGTCAGACCTCAAGGGACCAGATAGCAAGTGTGAAAAATCAGGACACCCTTTTTTTTTGGAAGGGGGAGTGGGGAGTGTAGTTGCACATATAAGCAAAGCCTCTAATATCGGGACGTCTGGGCACCCTAGTCAGACCTGCTAGCACCTGAAAGCTGTGGACAGGGACAGGCTGCAGAAGAGAAAATTCAGTGACACACATTGGGTTGAAAGCGTGATGGAATGGGGTGCTTGTCTAGCCCCCTCAGCAGGTGCCTTATTTCTCCCACCCCATCCCCCAATATGCAGTGCAGCCAACTCTGGTGATCTCTGGTGTTTCTCTTAAAGCCCCCGCTGCAGGAATCAGGAACTTGCGGGAGAATCTCCACTGTCCTTTGGGGGAAAAAAAGCAAAGTAACTTTCAAGCCCCCGTCGATGCAGAGGAAAGCTCTGGGGAGAAAAAATCTCACGAGTTTTAAGCAAATCTCTGAATTTGGGGAGCCTAACTGGTGATTTTTGAACGCTTCGGGTTGGCAACGCTGAGTCACTCCCATTGACTTGTATTCTGCGCAGAGGATCAGTCCATCAAGATGGTCAGGCGTGCAACCCCATGCTCTGGGCACCGTTAAACCTCCAACTGCCAGAAGCTGGGACTGACGACAAGGGATGGATCGCTCCAGAGTGCCCTGTTCTGTTCATTCCCTCTTGACTACTATCAGGGCCGTAGCAACAAAGAACGTGGCCCCCTCCGAACGTGGCCCCCTCCGAACATATGTCCGGGCGGGGCCCCTTACAATGCAGAAACTGGAATGCGGTATTTATTTTGCCACTTTTAGGGGCCCCCTTCCTTGCGGGGCCCCCTCCGGTCGGAGGGTACGGAGGGCGCTCGCTACGCCTCTGACTACTATTCTGCAGGGGAGGAGCATAGGGCTCCGGGGGAGGAGCCTTTAAGAATCCGTTTCCAAGGGCCCTACCGCTGCACTTCCTGGTGAATTTCCCAGCTGGGCGGCTTGAACCCTAAATCCATGCCTGAGAGTAGAGTGGAAAACTAGGAGACATTTTGCCAACAAATACAGGGCCCATCCCCTGCCAAAGGCCCTGTCGCCATATGTAGATGGCGCTTGCTCTGCTCTTTCACTGAAAATAGGGGCAGGAGGCGCTGAGCTGGATTTGGGGCCATTCCTTCTGGCAGTGTCGTTCCACTTGCAGGCCTGGCTGGCGACAGCAGGCAGGGTGCTCCCTCTGCAAACAAGATCTGCCCCTCGACTCCTGAGCGCATCCTGTTAATCACTAACGGTGAACCCCTGGCCCCACTGACGTCAGCGTGAGTTCTGCCGTTGCCTTCAGTCGTGATCACCAGCATCGTCCCAGCTCTCCAAGTGCTTTACAAAGGAGGTCGGTATCATTATCTCCATTTTGCAGGTGGGGAAACTGAGGCACAGAGCGAGCCGTGACTCGCCCAAGGTCACCCAGCAATGCAGTGGCAGTGCTGCGAATAAAACCACCGTTTCCTGAGTCCCAGCCCACTGCTCAATCCACTAGACCAATGGTTCTCAACCAGGTGTCCCAGGCCCCTGGGGGGGCACGAGCAAGTTTCAGGGGGGCCGCCAAGCATGGCCGGTGTTAGCCTCTCTAGGGCCCAGGGCAGAAAGCCAAAGCCCCACTGCAAAGGACTGCAGCCTGGGACCCTGAGCCCCACCACCCAGGGCTGAAGCCGAAGCCTGAGCAACTTAGCTTTGCAGGGCCCCCTCTGGCATGGGGACCTCCAAGCAATTGCCCTGCTTGCTACCCCTTAACACCAGCCCTGGCTTTTATATGCAGAAAAACAGCTGTTGCGGCACAGCTGGGCCGTGGAGTTTATTGTAACTGATGCATTTTAGTTTCAAATATAGGAATGGCCCCAAGCCCTCTATCTATGATCAGTGTGTTCACACTATTTCACAAGAGACTGAACCAATTTCCTGGCCGTTCATGATCAGGATGGAGCAAATATTTGCTTTAATGGGGGCACAGATCTGCAGGCAAAAGACTTGTGCATGAACTCGTGCACCTCCTTCTGCACATGCAAACCGTCTCCCTGCACGTGCAACGCAGGGACTGTTTGCACCGTCGTCTGTTTCATCCCTTGTGCTTTCTACACTGAGGAGAAACCCCCAGCAAATAGTCTGGAAGTGCCAAAGAAACAGCCAGGGGGAGGTCGCACAACGGACCCTTTTTAAAACACTTCAGAAATGGACTCGCTATAGGGGCTATCTGCAATAGAGAGCAGCAGGCCCAGAACACACTTCTTGGAAAGAAATATAGGGCCTGATTCTCATTGACACTAAGGCAGTGGAGAGGCCTCAAAGCTGGCAGGCCTCTTTACCCTGCTCGAGTGGCGTAAAAGGGCCTTCGTGTGAATGAGAATCAGGCCCCTAGCGATTTCAATGGGAATCCTTTTCCTGCCCTTCTCGGGAGCCTGGCCAGACTTCGTGCCTGGGACCCTCTCTCAGCTGTTTGCGTTAGCTCTGGCAACGGCTGAGGGCTGGGCGCTCGCCATCTCATTTGAGTCTCTCTCTGGGAGAACCCAAGAGCCCAAGGCTAGGGCCCGAGGCACTAAAGTGCATGGCTAGGCCTGAGCAGAGCCAACCCAGGTAGATTAATAGGGGTTTCCCTAGAGGCAAGTGCAGAGTCTAGGGTAGACGATCGGTTCGCAACCTTTGCAGGCTAGTTGGTTGGAGGCAGAACAACCTGTGAGCATGAGCCAGAAAGCAGAGCCACATGGAGCTTCTTGGGCCTGCTGGAGCGGCAGAGTGGGGGATTTCTGAGCAAGGAAACTGCCTGCTGCTGTTTCTTTCTACATCTCCTCTCGCTGTGGCTGCAGCAGCCCGGAGACGGAAATGGCTGCTGCAAACAGCGCACAGGCAGGGGGCTTAGAAATGTCACGAGGTGCAAAGCACTGAAAATTGGAGGCCCCCGAGTTCCAGCTGCACACCCCGGAGCTGTTGTAACCCAGGCCTGGCACGTCACCATGCAGCCATGGGTTACGCTAGGACCACATTCAAGTTAAGACTCTTAGTATTTCCATTATCAAGCCCAATTTGTAGGTGCTTGCAAATGGCTGAAAACCCTTCTTGGTGCCTGAGCCGAGAGGCTGCTTCTTTCTCAGAGGAGAAGGAATTGGGCCTTTTATCTTTTCAGAGAGCACAAGGGAAAGGCACCATATATGGTCTGGCTCTTGCTCGATCTCTCCTCACTTATACGGAGGATGCATCCCTCTGCCCCTCCACTGTCCTGCTCTCTCCTCTCATTCACGCCCATGCGGTGCGATACTGACATGGCGAGTGACCACCAGAGGTGCTTGAGCTGGGAGCCCCCACAGGTCAACGGGGCAGGGCATTCTCCATGAAGCCCTGAAATTTGCTTCCCTCCATGGTGGGTCAGAGCCCGGCTTCCTTAGTTAACTTGCCTGCGATTTCCCCTGAATTAGGGTCAGGGATGAGCCGATGGGGCAGAGGGGATCATCATGTTACAGTCATTGGTGGAGGTAGCTTAGTGGTGGCACAGGCAGTTTTGATCTATATATGAAGAGCTTAATTGTGTTAAATGCTCTTGTGTTAAGGGGGTATAAGACTCATGCCATAAAACTGAAATATGCGTTATCTCCAGTACGTGCCACATAATGCACATCACGAGACTGAGGGCGGTGGCATATGGCTGCTGTGAAAACCACCAGGGCTAGCCTTTCCCACCATGCTGTGCCCTACACGGGGGGGGCTGGAGTTCTATCTCTGCAGCCTGGAGAGGCACCCAAGTTATCCCTCTCATTGCTCTTGTCCTGGTGCGTATAATGAGATACACTACGGAGCTCTGCTCCCACTAGTGCAGCGAGACGGTGAGGCAGGAGCTGGATTATTTCTCTGACCCCGTGCCTTTTCTCAGTGAGCGTGACAGATGGCAGTTTGCTGGTGCACGTTCTTTCTCCAGTGCCATGGGCGAGGGCCGCTGAGGGCGAACCAGTGGCTCTCCTGGTGGCCCCTGCCCCTGCCTGGGAGGCCAGGGTGACACCCAGGGGCTAGCCCGGATTGGAAGGCTCTGGAGCGTGTGACGTCGCTCCACCGGAGGAGAGGAAACAGCTGCATTGCAACGAGGGCAGGCTGCACACTGCCATACCGAGCGCGGCTCTGCACAGCTCCTGGGCTGTCTCGCTGCAGGCTGAGAAAGGCTGCTCCAGGGGAAGAGGCCTTGGCAGGACATGTAAGTCTGAGCCCGGGAAAAGGGTCGATCCTTAGTGAGAGGGGAAGCTGGAGAGTGCCAGGGCTGATTGCGGGGAAGGGGGTCTGGCAAGCCACTGGACTAAAGGCAAATCAATAGCCCCTCCTGTGTGCATTGCAAAATGTTTAGCGTGCTGGTGAGTTTCAGGGTTATTTGCTCTTTAGAGTAAATTAATGATTATTTATTATTAATGAAAATCACCATAAGTCTACCTGGCACTCTCCAGACGGAGAGCAAGCCCCATTCCAATTCGCTGGGAGTTTTGGGGAACTGGGTAGCATTTCTGTAACCAGAGATGGCTGGGAGCTGGTGGGTGTGTTCCGGGCCCCTTCCCCGGGGTGTCTGAGTGTGTGCAAAACCCAGCCACAAGGATAAGCCTTGCTTAGCTTTGCTTGTCCCAGTATTTGGGCAGACGACAGAAAAAGACAAAAATCCCAGTGACATACTCCTTGGGATATGGGTGAAATCCGTGAACTTGGTTTGGGGAAAGCGGATTCCCAGGGAATTTTGCCCTCCTGTTTCATAAAACGTCCCGTGCAATAGTTATTTTATAATGTATATTTTTAAAAGATTCATGACCCGGCGGGGAGATGCTTGAGCTCTGGGACAGTTCTTGGGGAGCTGGGATCACTTGTCCTAAGGCTTAAGGTTGAATTTAAAAAAACCAGACTGCATTGGATGTGTAGCGTCCCATGTCTCTGTCTTCTGAGATGGCTCGTGCATCTTTTTTTAACCCTCCCAATGTTTCATTTGCCGCCCTACAAGGCACGTCTTTTAACGTGAGGAGCCCCAAAGGGCTGGTGCAGGAGGTCCTTGAGCCAACGCCCCGATTCCAGGGGGATGGGTAGAGCCTGTGGTTTCACTTTTGCTCCGGGAATGACTTTCTGAAAACCCCCTCCTGTCTAAAGCAGAAGTAAACCCCTCCTGAGGCTGGCAGGGTGTGTTCTCACAGTACCGCTGCCAGCCTGCAAGCTTTCAGAATGACCCCTAGGCCTCTTGTCTCTCTGTCCATGCTGCACCCTGGCATGAACCTGCAGGGCGGGGAAGAATGTAAAACCAAAGCCCTGCAGCTTAGAGGAGCCGTGCAAAGGCGGGCCAGGCTGGCCGGGGCCGTGAATCCGTCAGTAAAACACAGGGGCTGGGGCTGGCCTGTGCACCACGGCTTGCACTGGCCCTTTTGGGGAAGGGGAGCTCAGGACAATTATCCTGCCACTGTACCGAGGATTTAAAGGTTGTGGGGAGGGGCTGCTGAGTGCCCAGAGACCCTGGATGCAACAGCAGAGAGCTCTCCGCTCTGGTAAATCATTTATTAGGTGCTGTGAGAAAATCCCTATAAGCTCTCCTAAAGCATAATGAGCAGTGAATCCTTTTGTCCGCCCAAGAGCCGGCAAACATGGACACACCGACACCGCCTCCCAGATCCCCCCCTCCCGCCCCCGGCCATCAGGGCTTTCCGTTGATTCCCTTGGTCTAGGTCGCTCTTCCTGGTGTTCAGCAATCAGGGAACGAGCTGCGCTTGCCAGGAGAGGCGGCAGCCCGAATGGTCGTGTGGGGCCGGCCCCCCAAGTAGGGGTCCCGTCTGCCCCTCGTCAGCTCACGTGCTGCAGGCGCGAGGCTGTGCGGCACAACGGGGCGCTGACTATTTCATCCCCCATCGGCCTGTCTTTGTCTTCCAATGAGTGTCCCAAGTGGGGATCGGCTCTTGCCGTTGGTCTTTGCATAGCTGGACCTTGCCTAGGCAGTTGTCATGGGAGAGGCGCCTCCCCTAGGGCCAGGAGGACCAGGAGCATGTGGTGACTCCAGCATGGGCCTGCTCCCATCCAAGAACGGGGATAATGTGGAAGGCCAGCTGCAACCCTGCTCGTTCCAGTGAGGTGGTGTTGCCCCAGAGGGGATCCAGGTGCTGTCGGGAGTTATCAGACCCCAGTGAGATGAATTTGGCTGTGTCTGTTGCACATTTCTCTGGGGCTGCATGCAGAGGTGGGAGCCAGACCCGGGGTAGGTGATCTGTATCAGAGGAAGTCAGGCAGGAAGCTTTCATAGGGTACAAGTCTCTTCATTTCCTCGCTGCAGTATTCACAAGCAGCCCCCTCCCCCACCCATCTATGCAAGTACCCTCGCACAACGCCACCCCCTTTCCCTTTCAGCATAGCTCTACCCCTCGTGGAGCTGTTGCAGGTGCTGGCCACCCTTTGCAAAGCCTGTCAGTTCAGCTGCTCTGGGCCCTGAGCCCTGCACGTTCCTGGTATTTCACTCTCTGGGCTTGCTGGCTTCAGCATTTGTGGATAAAAGCCCGGGTTTTGGAGCTGGCCCCGAGAAAATATGGCAGGCGATGAGCCTCAGTGAAAGCCCACGTCAGCACCCCCTTGGGCCTGGCCAGTGCAGACCAGCAAAACTGCAGAGTTCCGTGCCTCTTGGCCAGTTCGTGGTCAGACAGCGCAGCGCGTGCTGCTGGAGGCTGAGGGGTGACTCCGGCTGGTTTTTGGATCCCTGCCCTGCAGCCAGACTGCAATGCAGGGACAGGCTGTCAGCCAGGAGCCAGCCAGGCCTCTTCCTGCAAGCCGGGCTCTCTCATTGGAGATCTGAGCTGTGCGCTCTCCACCCCCGCCAGACATTTCTCTCCCACCCTCTCTGGGCAGAGCTGCAGCCAAGAGGGTGCCTTCAGAAAGAGGCTAGGAAAGCAAAGGGGGCTGAAGAGGCCGCTGAGTTTCTCAGCAGAGCATAAGAATCATAAGGAATTCTCAGAATCACAAGTAAAACTGTGACGATGCCGGATGCTTCTGTAGCATCTCAACGCACTTAATTCATGTTTGGAGAGCACCGCAACGCTCTCCGGAGACAATACTGTTATCTCCATTTTAGCAAGGGGGAAACTGAGGCCCGGAGGAGGTTAAGTGACTTGCCTGGGGTCACCCAGGAAGTCGGTGGCAGTCGGTCAAGAAGAGAACCCAGGACTTCTGACTCCTCGCCTCATGAGGAACAATGAGGCAAGCCCACCCTTCGTGCTGCCCCTGGAGATGATTGTGGTGTCCGAAATCCAGCCGGACGACCTCTCCACAGGCTCTTCTGGGGCTGTGCGGGAGAAGAGCCTCCTGTTTGAATGCAGTTCGCTTTGGCCGTTCGCACACAGGCGTTGTGGAAGTGAACGGGATGGAAAGTGAAATGTATTCAACGTATGTTTTTGAAAAGTGCTCCCAGCCCGAATTGCTGCTCTGGGGCTTTGCCACTATTGAATTTTCCTGCAACATGGCGCGTTTGCGCCAGGAATTTGGGGGCGGGGGGGGATACGAGTTGTCCCGAGACCCGATGGGTGTCAGATAACACTCAATAGACTCATTCATTTCCAGGCTCCGTTATCCAGCTGCTTCTCTCCCTCCATCATCCTCTGCTTCTCTCTAGTCCCGAGGAAAATGAAAATGGCTCCCCCTCTTTGGTGAATCTCCCCCTTGTGGGGACGGGGTGTCCGTTGCCTGGTGACCGGCAGTGACTTTAGCGGTGAGGGCTTGTTTCCGTTGGTGTAAAATCTATCTTAAAGTAGGAGTAGGGTGAGCTGCCATGGAAACCAAGGTGCATTTCCTAGGTTCGGGTCTCTGTATGTCTCTGGCATCCGGCTTGATTTCTAGTCTAGATGGAGTGAGGGGCCCGTGAGAGGGAGCTGCACAGCGCGCTGCAGACCTCGAAATGTGGCACTTGGTTCTAGCCCCGGGCTCCCCAGAGAAATAAGGGACTGATTGAAGCTGAGGCGGGATTCTGTCTCTCGAGGGCCTGCGGGATGAAATGGTGAACAGGGAGCGAACCAGCCGCTCTCTAGAACGCAGCGCAGCCCCATCCCGCCCTGCCGGGTCTCTGAACACAACACCCCACTGCAGGGGGTCTGGGTTGTGAGGTCGTCACTTGTAGCTGGGGGTTCCTCCGTCAGGCATTGACCTCTGCTGCTGCCTCAGTTTCCCTTCTCCCCCTGGTAAGCATCCCACTGCAGGCGTAGTCACAACAACCCTCCCCTGCTGGGTGTTTGGCTTATTAACAGCGTTCAACACACAAGCCATCCGCCCAGCCTCCTGTGCGTCACAACCTTTGGTGTAGGGCTCTTCGCTCCCTCCCTGATGAGGCTTTCCCCCCATGGGCCTGCTCGCCCCTAACCTCTCCTCTCCAGCTCCTGCCCCCTGCAGGCTTGTGCTTGCCGGGACTTCTGCCTGGGAGCTCTGGAGAGCCCTCTCCAGCCTGCTCTCTCTCTCACACGGGCCCCCTATACGCTGTCGCCCGGGACTCACTTGCCTCATCTGTGCCAAACCAGGCAAGGCTGAGCCCAACTCTCTTGTGTTCTGAAAGGGCCAGCATTGGAACTGGGGCCACTGCCCTGCTCCCCCAGCCACCCCTGTCTCCCTGGGTGGCTCTCCTGGCTGGCAGGGTTGCCCCAAGATTTTGTAAGATGTGTCTGAGTGCCTTGCGATATCTTTGGGGCCAGCGCAGCATCCTCTCCTCGTGGGGATGCAGCCCCTTGCAAAATAGGATCCCGAACCCCGACTGGGCTGTCTGGACACTATCGCAGTGCAAAGGAGGAGGATACGCGAGCTGAGCTCACCACAGGGCGATGCCAAGCCAAGATGGCATGACGTTGTCCCAGAGGAAAATGTCTCTGAGACGGTTGGCGTTCCGCTGGCTCCTAATATCAAGTGCTGTCCATAGCGAGCCCGATTCTGAGGTCCACGCTCAGGGAAACTCCAGTTGACTTCAAGGACTTTGTAAAAACGGCTGAGCATGCCAGGATCTGGCCTTCGGTTTCCACTCCTGATGATCCTGGGCTTGAACGGGGCTTAGATTCCACATAAAACCTGTCTGCTGGGATGTTGGGTGGCTTTCTTGGGAGAAGCCAAGCACTGGAATAGCAGGGGGGGGCGCAGGCCAGGCCTGAGATGCGTTGGCAGAATCCTGGAGGGGACGCTTGTTCAGCGCTGCCTGCTCTGTACCTGTCCAGAGCAATTTGTTCCTCCCCTAGAGGCGTTCTCCAGTAAATGACGTAGGTAAGAGAGAACAGCTGGGAAAGCAGAGGGAGAGGAGAATACAAGGTGACTGGCGCAGGAATAGGGGAGCTTTTGTATTCGTGGCAAAAGCTGAATCTTCCTGACGTGCTCCTGTGGGGTCTGGTTGTTTTATTGTAACACCTGTTGCCATAGCAGTGCCGAGGTTTAATTACAGCAAGATGAAAACACACAGGGCCTGATCCAAAGTCCATTGAATTCAGTGGGAGACTTTCCATTGACTTCAATGGGCTTTGGGTTGGGCCCATCACCTACGTAAATTAGTGCCAGCAGAAGGAGGTCTTAAAAATTGAACGGGGCCATGACAATAACTTGTCGCCAGCAAAGCTATGGAGACTGAGCGTCCGACAAGAGACAGAACACCCCGAAGCGATCAGCCAGGGACAAAGCAGCCATGGGCCATTGTGTGATGCTGCCCAAACATGGGCTCTGGGGCGGGATCATCTCCTGCCAGCCATGGAGAGCTCAACCCTACGAAGCAACAGCAAGAGCATCTCAACCACTCAGGATGCAGAGAGGGAGAGGAGGTCTCCTAGGTAACCAGGTCTCCGGCCATTCAGCGCAAGACTTCAGTGCTCTGTGCTGAAAAGCCAGTTGCTCTAGCAGGCTTTCCATTGGGGAGCGGGCTGTCAATGGCAATGTTCCCCAGGGACCTCGCTCTACTCCTTGCTGACTCAAGTGCAACCTACTTTGTGTTTCTTCCTTCCCTCCCATCCCCTTCCTGTGTCTGTCTGTGCCAGGCTGCCTGGCGCGGAGCAGAACGCCAGGGACCGAGAGCGAAGCAAAACTGGCTGCAGATAAAGAGGAACCTGTGCATCTGCTGCTCTCACTGGTGAATGCTGATTTCTTGGAACGATGCTCCATGTGCCAGCGCATGGCAGCAGGATTTCTGCCCTCCAGGTCTATCAATACATGCAGAATGGCTCTAGGGAAGAGAGGGGATAAAGGGCAGAGCAAATCTGCACAGCATCTCTGCCTGACAGAGGCACCCGTGCCCTGTAGCAACTGTATTGTGTGTGTGAGCTTGGCCAAGCCTCGGATAGGGGCCAATAAAGGACATAACGGACCAAACGTCTGGCCTCGGTTATGCCGGTGTAAATCTGGAGTGGATCCCCTGACTTCAGTGGCGTCACTCCGAATTTACATTGCTGTGACTGAGAGCACAACCCCCACCAAAGTCATAATAGCTGTTGGGTGAAAGGACATTTTGCCTGACGTTTTTCTTTTCTTCTGCAGCTTCCTTTTCCTCCTGCCCCGTTGATTCTGACCCAGAAGCCATGGCGCCCACAGGCAAGGTACAGTACTAGCTCTAGTCGTAGCATGTCGTAGCACTGGTTACCTCCTGCCGACTCCTCTGCAGAAATGGAGAGGCTCAGGGATCCCCCGTGCACCATTTTGTCCTTGGGACAGATTCACTCCAGTGGTTTTGTGCCTCTCTGGCAATGTAAAGCAGCCAGTCCTGGCTTAAAGGATTGGCTACCAAGAATCCATCCCATATTTTGCCAGGGGGCCATGTTAGTGAAGCTAACAGGTTGGTACAATCTACCAACCCAGTTCATAATTCTTGTCATAGTGGTACTGGGTAACTCAGCATTTCTGCTCAGGGTGGGGGCAGTTTCTTTGTAAGGCTGAGAAGCAGGAAAGCAACCACAAGTTTGGCAGCTGGCGTTGCTTTTCATCCACGAGTCATGAGGCTTGAGATCTTGCTGGCAGACACTGTTTACGGTCTTTCGTCCTTCGGCTAGCACTCTGTGTAAACACAAAGCAGAGGCACCGGAAGATCCAAATGATTGTGATCTGAGTGGGGCTGGGAAGAAAGACAGCGAGGAACACAGATGGAAAAAAAGAACTAGTAGGAAAAGAAAGAAAGAAAGAAAGAAAGGAAAGTAGAAATAGAAGAAAAAGGGGGGGGCGAGGGAGTCAGGAGCCTCTGTGGGGACAAAAGAAGTGGCGTGTAGCACAAACTTCTCATTCACCCCGGGGAGGTTATAGATCAGACCAGTTCATGGCCTTCCGCCCAGATTCTGGTCTCAGCCACCCCAGTGTAAATCTGGAGCAACTTCCCAGAAACCGAAGGACTGACTCCTGATTCACACTGGTCTAATGGGGATCACAGCCTGGCCCCCCTTCCCTGGTTTTCCAAGCAAGTGGTGCGACCCATGTTTTTAAAATGCCGGGGGTGACGGTTGTGGCTGGATGCCAGGCGGGCGCTGGAAGCTCGAGAAGTTCTAATCCAGAGCTTGTTGCCAAACCTTTTGTTGTAGTGTAGACAGGGGGAGGAGGGGGGCGAGTGTGAGCGAAGGGAAGGGTCACCACCACTCCTCTAGCCTGGAGCAGGGACAGCCATCTGGGGGTGACCTTTAACAGCCACAGGTGGGGGCTGTTTGCTACAAATCCTGCACTTATATCGGATTGGGGGAAGGGTCCTTCTGCCTGCTCGGCCCCGTCCTTAGTGGGCACTTCAACGATCCCACTACGTCCCAGCCTGGCCTCTCATCATGCCTAGAGGAAACCGATCTGGCAACTCCCCTGAAGGAGAACAACTCCGTTCTGCTAAGAGAGCAAGTCCCTTCGCCCTCTGCCATCTGGCAGCTCCATTAGCAAACACCCACGCGCTGCCGAGCTCCGGGGGGGCGGAGGGGTGGAAAATCCCGTGTCTCTGGTGTCAGTGAGGTCTGCACGCACCCACGCCTGTCACTGCTGGAGGGCTCCTGCCACCTGATACCTCGCAGCCTTCATGTGCACCTGGGGCTGGCGCTTCTTCCCGCTGCAACGCACCCAGTAGCCACTGGTCAGCGTGTGTTATGTCTCCCTCTTGGTGCCCGCTCCACACAGGGTGTGAGTCTGTTAGAGCCCCTCGCTAGACAGCCTGGCTCCTGAGCTCAGGCTGCAGGGCCTTGTGCTCCTGGATCTAGAGGGCCCGGTTCAATCCCAGTGCTGGCCAAGATGGTGGCTGTCACACTGGCAAAGGGTCAGCACTGCTCCCCTCCCTGGGGGTGTCCAGGTGTCCCCGCAGGACCTGTGGGTGGGAAGCTGGCGTTCTCTCATCTCATCCACTGGGGAAGTTCTGTCCCCCAAACGGGGGAAGTCCCTTAAAGCGACAGACAAATATTCACGCTGTAAAGAAAGTGACACCCCCCCCCCTCGAGAGAGAGAGGTGGCAAGAGCATAGGGTGCTGGGCAGGTGAGCATGTGCACCCAGGGATCACTGGGCCCAGGGTGGATGCTGAGGCTGTGTGAGGAGGAATGAAGCTGTGTAGGGAATTCGACTTCCACGGAGCAGCCTGCCTATTTATAGCGTCAAGGGCTCCAGCTGTCTAGAGGCCGGTATGACTCAGAAGTGGGGGATGGGAGCAGGAGGGAGTCTTATAGCCTATGCACTAAATAAAACAGCTGAGGAATTGGGTGGGAAGAAGGAAGGCAGTCCCCCAGGCTCATTCCCAGCAAGGCAGGAGTGGGGGTGGGGGATGTTATTGCCCCAGAAAGCTCACTACTAGCATGGAGCAGCCTCTGCTTCCCCTCCCCCCATTCAGTGCCAAAGGGGCCCTCCATTCCTACTAAGTGCGTATATATATACAGCACAGTTTCGGGCTCCTGCATTTTGTTCCCAGCTCTGCTACTGACGCGCTGTGCAGCCTTGCCCATGGCACTTAGCCGCTCTGTGGCTCTGTTTCTCCACCGGGCTCAGAGTGGTGTGGCTGTGAGGGTGAACAAGTTAATGTTTGTAAAGCACATTGGGACTATGAAGTGCCCTGTCAGTGCTGGGTACGATTAAACCTCTGCCCGAGTGGTGGGTGCTGAGTGTGCCCCTGCCAGCGTGATCTATGCCACCCCAGGCAAAAAGAAGTTCTGCTGGTACCTGATTATCCACCCGATGGGCCCCTGCTCTGAGCTCTCCCCTGAGATGAGTCTCCACAGAGAACACGCCCCACCCCCACACATTCTGCGGGAGTCGGTGACAAGTGACTCCTTTGCCGGTGGCTTGGCTTTGTAACGTTTATTCACGTCTCTCCAAGGCATTTGTGCGGGAAGCAGCTCACACAGGGAATAAGGGACCTCAGGGGCTTTGTTACGGGAAAGCAGGGATAAAGCCTTGCCCTGCCGATGAATCACCCGCAACATGATCCTGCCCTAGCAGCAGGGAGAGGGATCGGCTTCTCTTATTAGCCATGCCAGAGACTGTGCACACGGCCAGAGCAGAGGTGCTCTAAGAACAGGCTCACGGTCTCCTGCTTGAGTCACCAGCCCCGACTGCCTCCCCACACTCTAGCAAAAGCGATGCTACTGCTTGCTTTTTGAAGAGCTGCTTCTCCCTGCTGTGGTCTCTCTTCAGTTCCTTGAGCTGAACCATTGTGGTGGTTGAGTGCTGCTAATCGGGTGTCATATCTGCTGTCCAGTAGGGCCTCAGCTGTTGACAGTTGTCCTGCTTCCGTGTTCCTGCACACGCTCTTTTGTAGATGATTCTGCCTCTGCGATGGCTGATTCAGCACTGGGCTGAGAGGAAGGCGTCGGTGGCTAAAAATTAGCCAGGCACCGGGAGGGAAATCCGAGTTTCTCCCCAGTTTGACTTGACTTCTTCATTCTTAGACTCTATTCCTGGGCTGTAACTGTGCATGGTGACTTGATAGCAACATGGTGCATAGGAATTGCCACGGTGGGTTGGACCATGGGCTCCACCTAGTCTAGGATCCCATCGCTGACCTCAGCCAGTACTAGATGCTTCAGAGGAAGGTGCGTGAAACCCCATAGGAGTGATGGGATAACCTGCCCCTCAGGGAGCCTCCTCTCAACCCCCCGCGGCTGGAGGCTGGCATGTGCCATGAGGCAGGAGGCTTTGCATCTCTCCAAAGCATTTTGTTTTTGAGGGTTCACTAGAACAACTCTGGCTGGGCCTGCCATCCAAATCGATGGCCAAGCTCGCCTGGTTAGTTGTGCTAGAACGGCAGAGCAGCCGCGCACACTGGAGCAGCTAGGACTGCAGAGACTAAGGGTGAAGGGAGGATCCTGGGGTCTGATCCCTGTGGTTAGAACAGGCCCAGCTGCCTCAGGGGCCCGGAGCACAGATGATTGCCGCACCGTTGGCTGCTGGCCGGGCTGAGCTGCTTCGCTCCGGAGAAGGGCCAGGCTGGAGCAGAAACAAAGGCCAGGTTCCATCAGGGCACAGGGAGGTGACTCGTCTGGGAAGCCCCCAGCTGTTGGTGGATCTGGGCCCTGTTTCACCGGAGTCCCCCTGTGGAGGCTGGGTGAGAAGCCCAGTGGTGGAATTCAGCGGTGGCTGGGTGGATCAGATGTTGGGTTTGCCCCACGCGTTCACGTTGCCGCCCTCATGCCAGCTCTGGCCAGGCGGTGGAAAGGAGCCTCCAGCTGGCGCGTCCCCATTTGTTTTCTTGTTTCCTCTCTCTAGACTGGCAGGTACAGGGGCTCCGTGAAGGAGTTCCCGAACTTCACCGCGAGCCAGGATGCAGAGGCGCTGTACAACGCTATGAAGGGGTTCGGTGCGTACTTTCCACTGCCGCCGCGCTATGGGCCCAGTCCAATGTCCGTTGTTAGTGGCTTTGGAGCAGGCCTTGTGCTGGCATTCTGGGGCGGCATGGCCGGGTGTGAGCGGAATGGAGGGGTGACACTGGATGCCCTGATTGTCCCTTTTCTGATGGCAAGGGAGAGCATTAGGGGGAGAAGGCCATGAAAGCATCTCCTAGCCCTTCAGTATTGCCCCCTCCGGTGCTTCATCACCTCCCTGTGCCGCCATGTAATTGGTAAACAAGGATGCACAGTGCATGTGTTTTCAGGGCACTGCTGCCTGTTTTTGTAGGGTGCTGGAGTCGCTTCATGATGCACAAACAGCCTTCCTATGGGAAATGTCCCATGGCTTATCTTGGTGGGGGGAAGAGGCAGGCAGAAGGCACAGCGCTTCAGTACGGATCACCTGGGACAGTCTCTGGTGCCCCAGTGCAGGATCCCCACGGGGAGAGCGAGTGATTAGGGCATTCCCTGTGCTAGCGTGCTATGCCCCCCCCACTTCCCCAGTGATGTCCCTGAGACCAATCAGTCCATTACCCTGGTCCCAGGTAGGCCAGCCGTGGATGGGTGCGCCCTGGTCGCAGCTCTCTGTCCTACCAACTCCAGCACAGAGCTGGAATCCGCTTCTGATCCAAGCAAAGCTGGATCTTAGAGCAGACCCAAATCTAGGCAGTGGGACGAGGGTGACTGACCGTGTCTCCCTGCAGGCAGTGACAAGGAGGCCATACTGGACCTGATAACGTCCAGGAACAACAAGCAGAGAATCGAGATCAGCCAGGCCTACAAATCGCTCTACGGAAAGGTAACCCCAGAGAATCGGACGGTGACACATCCTGCTCTGTGATCCGCAGGAGAGGGAGCCTTTGCTGTGTCCTCCAAACCAGAGCATGCAGGGTGTACAGCCCCCTGCTTCTCCTTGTCCCTGCCAGGCTGGCAACGGGCACACAAAACAAAGCAAAATCATTGGGAAAATTCACTAGCTAACGGCAGGGTGGGAAAAATCCTTCCAATACCCATGGCCAGCCCGGACTCTGCCAGCAGCCCTGCTGAGAAGGTCATGACCTCCTCCCAAACAGCTAAGGAGGCTGTCTTAATAAGTCCTTTCTCCCAGAGAGTCTGCCGCTCATGGATCCTTCTCTCTCTCTCCTCACACTCCCTTCTGTGCCCGGTGGCCAGGACCTGATTGCAGACCTGAAGCGGGAGCTGACGGGGAAATTTGAGAGGCTGATTGTGGGTCTGATGCGGCCCCTGGCATACTTTGATGCCAAGGAGATTAAAGACGCCCTTCAGGTAAGGGGCAGGAAAGGGCACGCTCTGACCATCGTGGAATACAGTATGTGCTACACCAGGGGTTCTCAAACTGGGGGTGGGGACCCCTTAGAGGGTCGCGAGGTTATTACGTGGAGGGTCATGAGCTGTCAGCTTCCACCCCAAACCCCGCTTCGCCTCCAGCATTTATAATAGTGTTAAATATGTAAAAAAGTGTTTTTAGTTGATAAGGGGGGTCGCACTCAGATGCTTGCTGTGTGAAAGGGGTCACCTGTACTATAGCCTAGCTCTGGCCGCCCCCTCTAAGGGCGGGTGCTCTTATCCCCGCTCCCCAACGCAGTCCCCCAGAGGCTGCCCTTCTCGGCTGATACCCACCTGGCGTCAGCGCATGACATCTCACGCGGTGGTTGTGTTTCCTGCCTGCAGGGCATTGGCACTGACGAGAAATGCCTGATTGAGATCCTGGCATCCCGGACCAACCAGCAGATACACAACCTGGTGGAAGCCTACAGAGACGGTTAGCATGGGGGACAAGAGCATCCCGGCTTCTCTGGGGCCAGGAGGCCAGCAGTCACTGCCCTGTGGGCAGGGGAGGATTTAAGTCAGATGGGGCACAGGTTCACCAGAACTAGAATATCCCCCAATAGCCTCTTTCTCTGTGTTTCCCCCTCCGCTGCTCCTGAGATGGACTCCTCCACTCCAAACTCTGTGCATGCTTCTCCGGGGCACCTGCCTGCATCCTCGCACGTGTGTGGGAGAAGGTCTTGCACTTCCCAAATGTTGCTGTTGCCTTTGTACTCAGCTTTCTGACTGGTGCTGGGCAGCTGGAGTTAGAGAAGCGAAATATCTTTCTTTGAGAAGAGAACTGATTTTTTAGACAAAGGAAATGCAGTAGATCGAATCTGCGTGGATGTCAGGAAGGCATTTGATACAGTTTCACATGGGAAATTATTAGTTAAATTGGAGAAGACGGGGATTAATATGAGAACTGAAAGTTGGATAAAGAAGTGGTTAAAGAGGAGACTACAATGGGTCGTGCTGAAAGGTCAACTCTCAGGCTGGAGGGAGGTTACTAGTGGCGTTCTCAGGGGTCAGTCTTGGGACCAATCTTATTCAACATTTTTATTACTGACTTGGGCACAAAAAGCGGAAGTGTGCTAATAAAATGTGCAGATGACACAAAGTTGGGAGGTATTGCCAATATGGAGGAGAACTGGAATATCATACAAGAAGATCTGGATGACCTTGTAAACTGGAGTAATAGAAATGGGATGATATTTAATAGTGCAAAGTGCAAGGTCATGCATTTAGGGATTAACAAGAATTTTTGCTATAAAATGGGGATTTATCAGTTGGAAGTGACAGAGGAGGAGAAAGACCTGAGTGTATTTGTTGATCCCAGGAGGATGACTATGAGCTGTTAATGTGATGCGGCCATGAAAAAGGCTAACACGGTCCTGGGGTGCATCAGGCAAGGTACTTCCAGTAGAAACAGGGAAGTGTTAGTACCGTTATATAAGGCACTGGTGAGACCTCATCTGGAATGCTGTGTGCAGTTCTGATCTCCCATGTTTAAGAAAGAGGAATTCAGTCTGGAACAGGTGCAGAGAAGGGCTACTAGGATGATCAGAGGAATGGAAAACCTACCTTATGAGAGGAGACTCAAAGAGTTTGGATTGTTTAAGTGGTTCTCAAACTGTGAGTCGGGACCCCAAAGTGGGTCGCGACCCTGTTTTATTGGGGTCGCCATGGCTGGCTTAGACTTGTTGGGGGCCAGGGCTGAAGCCTGACTCCCATCACGCAGGGCAGAAGCCAAAGCCCGAGGGCTTTTCAGCCCTGGGCAGCGGGGCTCAGGTTACAGGCCCCCTGCCTGGGACTGAAGCCCTTTGGCTTTGCCCCCACGCCCACCTAGGACGATGGGGCTCAGGCGGGCTCAGGCTTCGGTCCCCCCTCTTGGGGTCGTGTAGTAATTTGTCAGAAGGGGGTCACGGTGCGATGAAGTTTGAGAACCCCTTTAGCCTAACCAAAAGAAGGCTGAGGGGAGATAGGGTTGCTCTCTATAAATACCTCAGAGTGACAAATACCAGGGAGGGAGAGGAGTTATTTAAGTTAAGTACCAATGTGGACCCGAGAACAAATGGATATAAACTGACCATCAACAAGTTTAGGCTTGAAATTAGGTGAAGGTTTCTATCCATCAGAGGAGTGAAATTCTGGAGCAGCCTCCCAAGGGGAGGAGAGGGGGCAAAAAACCTAACTGGCTTCAAGACTGAGCTTGATAAATGTATGGAGGGGATGGTATGACAGGACTGCCTACAATGGTGTGGCCTGTCAGTGACTGCCTGTAGCAAAAATCCCCAACGGCTGGAGACGGGACACTAGCTGGGGAGGGCTCTGAATTACTACAGAGAATTCTGTCTCGGTATCTTCCTGGTGGGTTTTGCCCACATGCTCGGGGTCTATCTGATCGCCAGATTTGGGGTGAGGAAGGAATTTTCGCCTGGGTCAGATTGGTAGAGACCCTGGTGGTTTTTTCACTTCCTCTGCAGCATGGGGCAGGGGGTCACTTGCAGATTTAAACTGTGAATTCTCAGTAACTTGAAGTCTTTAAACCATGATTGGAGGAAGTCAGTAACTCAGCCAGAGGTTAGGGGTTTATCACAGGAGTGGCTGGGTGAGGTTCTGTGGCCTGCGACGTGCAGGAGGTCAGACTAGATGATCACGATGGTCCCTTCTGACTTCAGTAAGAATAGCTGAGTAAGGATATACACTACCATTTTAAACCTAACCAGTGTCCCTTAAGTGACTTCCCACAAGATGTCAGAACATGTTAGTATTGGAGCTGAGTGGGTCTACTATTTACTTAATTTTCTTTCTTGATATAGGAATTAGATACAGTGCTCCTGTCAGAGAATTTCTAAGTTATTACCTGCAAAAAATAAATAAATAGAGTTTTCAGTTGCCTAAGTAGCTCCTGGAATCATGGTTAAAGTTGTCCCTTCCCCCCCAAAAACCTGAAATGGTGCCCCTGTTGGCAGGCACAGAATTTGCCCCCCCTCCATGCACAGCGCCATTGGCTTGACTGGAGCCGCCCCCCAAAAAGGCAAACTATGGTGATGGGGCTGTGGGGGCGAGGGGAGTTGTTGGCAGGGGGCAGTGCCTCTGAAATGGGTTTGGCTTGCTTTGGGCTTGCTGTGAAAGGCAGTGCAGCGTTGATTGCATCTGAGAGAGGGGTGGCATGCTGGACAGCAGCTCCACATACATCCTTTGAACCCGGGGTCTGGATCCTGGGAGCCTTGTGTTGGGCTCCGGCCTAACCTGAATACAGAGCTGAGGTGCTTTCCATTTTCCTTTCCAATGCTCCAGCCTACGAGAGGGAGCTGGAGGCGGACGTCCTGGGAGACACCTCGGGCCACTTCAAGAAGATGCTCGTTGTCTTGCTTCAGGTAGGTTGATCTGTCCGCCCCTCCCCATTCCCCCCTGTCTGTCCGCTCCCCTCGTTCCTCTGTGACTGAGGCGCTGGCCTCTCGTCTCTGATGCAGGGCACGCGGGAGGAGGACGATGTCGTGAGCGAGGACCTGGTGGAGCAGGATGCCAAGGTAAGTGTCGCTGAATTGAGACTGGCTCACTTCCCTGGCAATCACTATAGCACAGCCAGTGACTGGGAGGAAGAATGATGGGTCAGAATGAGCTTTTCTTGGCACCGGCTGCATCCCCAGCTGGTTCAGATCGGCGCGACGCTGATTTGTACCAGCCGAGAAACTGGCCCCTCCGACTTCAGTTTTAAGCACATTTTTTGTAGTTTATTCATTGCTCTGCTATGTGTCTGGGCAGCTAGAAAGGGGCCCAAAGCCCTGGCTGCGGACACCCCATTCTGGAAAAGTTCAGCTCTGACTTCTGCAGCTCAGGCCCAGGTTTATCACCCCCTCTTACAGCGTTTGAGAGGCCGTGTGGACAAGAGCCACCCAGGAGCTGCTTTCTAACTGAGTAGAAAGTGTCACAAACACACATGGCTGTGGCCCAAACAGGATATGAACCTAGGTCTACACACACACACACACACACACACACACTCGCTCTCTTCCAGCCATGTGCTCTTGCAAGGTTGTAACTGTTTTTACTGCACACAGACACAGTGAGATATGGCGGGGGGAAGGAAGACAAGACAAATCAGATTTTGAATTGATAACGTCCCTATAGATGAAGTCAGTTAAACAAATGATCGAGCCTGAGACCGGGAAGGAGCTTTGCCTTTTGTAAGCAGTGGCATTAGGGTTTGGAGCTGGCACTGAAGGCAGGTGTTGAGCGTGTTTGTTCTGGGTTCAGGATTTTAGCACTCTCTGGCCTGGTCTACACTACGACTTTAATTCGGATTTAGCTGCGTTAATCCGAATTAACCCTTCACCCGTCCACACTACAGAGCCAGTTAATTCGAATTAAAGGGCACTTAAAATCGATTTCTGTACTCCACCTTGACGAACGGAGTAGCGCCTAAATCGATTTTGTTAATTCGAATTAGGGTTAGTGTGGCCGCACACCACCGAATTACTGTGTTTAAATTAATGGGGTAGTGTGGCCGCACACCACCGAATTAATGTGGTTAAAAACCGAATTAATGTGCTTAGTGTGGCCGCGCACAATCGAATTTATACAACCTGTTTCCCAAATTCGAATTATCTAAATTCGGATTAATCCTGTAGTGTAGACATACCCTCTGACTCTGGGCTTTTGCTGCTGTTTTCGCCTTTCTGCAAGGATCTTTTGGAAGCTGGCGACCTGAAGTGGGGCACAGACGAGGCCCAGTTCATCTACATCCTGGGAAACCGAAGCAAACAGCATCTCCGCCTGGGTAAGCTGTTTTCAAAGCGATCATAAGATCGCCAAACCACAGTGCTCCTCCCTCCCCACAAAGCAGCTAGCTGGTTCTTGCAGACTCTGTGTGGACATGCCAGCCAGTCTGGGCTCTCGCCATCTGGTGGTCACACCTGGGAAGGACAAGTAACCGTTTTCCATGAGATCTAATGAATTTTGAGGGAGGAGACCCCGGTGCCCATTCCATCTCTGGCAAAATCTTATCGGGCTGTTGCTGGGGGAGCCCTGAATGCTCCGATTCATCTTCTCTCAGGCCTCATGGCTGCAATAACTTGTTCACCCCAAGAGATTTTGTTTCTGTAGAAGTGCTTCGTAGCTTTCATTATTGTCATTGGCGCCTCTGCTGATTAAAACCCACATCATTTAAGGTAGTTGCCTTAAAAGCAGACTTGCTGTGAAAGTAATGGAGTAAACCAGCCACTGGATGGCCGCTTTCATGCTGTAGTGTCTGAATGACTCGCAATCTGGCTAATGCACAAAGGAGGGGAGTGCGCCTGTCTAACCCACTGGTGAGTGGGTGTTACAAGCAGTGGCGGTGGAGCCATTTGTATAGTGGGGGTGCTGAGAGCCACTGAACATAACTGTAAACCCTGCATATGATGGAAACCACTTCAAGCCGGGGGGTGCAGGTTACAGGGACCCTCTATGCTGGTACACAGAGGCTATGAGTTGTTACAGCCCCAAGCCATAGAGTTTGGGGGTTTTAGCTCAAGCTGTAGGAGCCCACGCGTTTAGTTCTGGAGGTCCCCGGTTCAATCCCCAGCGTGTCAGCTGAAGCTTTCAGGTGGCCAACACACTCTCGGTGGCCAATGGGGGAGCACCACGGGGAACAGCTGCAACCGTGGCATATGGCAGTGAAGAGAAAACACAACAGATTAGTTCCTCCTCTCACCCTCCCACGCAGCCATGGGCAGGGTTCCTGAGAACAGCCGGACGCTCTGCCGCCTCTTGCCAGCCAAACACCTAAAAGGCAATAATCCCTGCCTCTGAGAGCCCCCAACATGCAGAGTGGTGTTTGCTCCCCCACAAAGACGCTGGCCTCCATTTCCCCCGCCTCTGGGCCATGCCAGTGTGGCTTGTGACGGGGCCTCTCTCCTGCTTTCACCCCACAGTCTTTGATGAGTATCTGAAGATTTCCGGGAAGCCCATCGAGGACAGCATCCGGGGCGAGCTGTCCGGGGACATTGAGAAGCTGCTGCTGGCAGTGGGTGAGCTGGTGCTGTCTGGTGGAGGGGCAGGGCCGGAGGAGACGCTTGCACCAAAAGGGTCAAACAGGAGGACTTAAAGTGAAGGGCCCATCTCCCTATTTACACAGCTGAAGAAGAGACCTGAGCACTCACCGATACCGTGATCCCACTGACGGCACCTGGTGGTGTGGGTGCTCAGCACCTCTCAGAAATGGGCCACTTTTATTTAGGTGCCTTAACATGGATTATGGGGTCTACTCCAAAGCCCACTGAAGTCCATGGCAGAATTCCTGATGGTATCAATGGGCTTTAGATCAGGCCCCAGGTACCCATCTTGAGGCACCCAAGTTTGAAAATTTCACACTAATCCCTGTGGAAAAACACAGACTGGGTCCTCCCATGTATACGAATGTGGGACTTGCCCGACTGCATGAGGCCAGGGTCTGTCAAGTCTGGTGTCCTGTCTCGGAAAGAGATTCTGGGCGGACAATCGTTGGTGCTAAAACGTGTAACGTTCCCCTGAGCGTGCAGGGAATGGCTGGAGAGCCCCGGACAGCGGAGAGGAGCCCGCAGCGAGGCTGACTCGTGGAAATATGTGCAAACCCCTGCTGTGTCACTGGGCCAGCTCCGCGCTGTGCGTGTAAATGCAAGCCCAAATCCTGCAGTCTTCCTTCAGTCCGTACCCCCGTTATTGTAGAGGGTAAGGAAGGAGGAAGAGCTGGGAGGGTCCCATGTCTACAGGAGTTACCTGTAATCTGCAACAGGAAAATAGAGCGCCAAGATTTGACCCACCATTAAAAAGACCTTTTCCGGCTATTACATCACAGCAGCATCTGCGATGCTACGCTCATTTCTCTCTAACTAGATTAGCCATCAGCTGCGACATCTGAGGCATCACAATACAGTAACTCATCCTGGCTCTTTAGTGGTGACCACTGTCCTGTAGGTGGGTTACAATACACCTTAGAGGGAGACCACTGTCCTGCGGGTGGGTTACAATACACCTTAGAGGGAGACCACTGTCCTGCGGGGGGTTACAATACACCTTAGAGGGAGACCACTGTCCTGCAGGGGGGTTACAATACATCTTAGAGGGAGCCTTGGGAATTATACTGGGACAGGAGGAAAACAGACACGGTACAGGGGAAACTGGGGGTGGGTTAGGGAGCAGCATCTAATGTGGTGTTGGAGGTGTGGGGAAGAGACCGAGAGCCTGGAAGATTTGAAGGAGTCAGCAGTGCCCTGAGCTGGAGCGCTGTGGTTAGAAGGGCTAAGGAAGCCACTCTGCTCTGCTGGCCAATGGGGAGCCCTGTCTGTCGGGGTCACTGGACTCTTGTGACTCTTCTTGTTTTTTCACCTTCATTGTTTCTCCTGCAGTGAAGTGCATCCGGAGCACCCCAGAGTATTTTGCTGAAAGGCTCTACAAGGCCATGAAGGTGAGTGGTGCAGGACGTTCTCAGGAGCCCAGGCTCCGCAGGTGCTGTGTCAGGGAAACCCCACTAGCGAGGCATGAACCCCGTTTCCTTTAGTCCGTGAGAGGCATGGGGCTCTCTCTTCCGGGCGCAGGCCTGGCAGGGTTCTAATACCCGGGCGTGGGCAGGGAGAGTTCAGCAGAGCGTGGGACAGAGGGGTGGGAACAGTCTGGGCAGATTCATTCTGGCCATGGAAATCCAAGCCCAGGCTAGCGTAATGACACTGTTGCTCTCCTCTGAAATTCGCTCTAGGAGAAGATTGCAGAGCTCCAGGAGAATTAACCTTCCAGGGGCTTGGGGACAAGCAGTGTAAATGACCAGAGATTCTGACAATGGGCCACGGGGACATTGACTAGCTGGCATTCAGCTGGTTTCACGAGTTACTGGGAGCCCAGCTGGGTGACCAGTGCAGAGAGAACCCCCCGTCCAGGGTTTCGCCTCTTTCTGAGCTGGCGAATTGTCTGCAGACAAGTTGTGACTTTCTGGCATGATTGTGTGGCTAAGCCGTGGCCTGTGGGGCCGTCCGTTCCAGGGGCTGGGGACCAAGGACAACACGCTGATCCGCGTCATGGTCTCCCGCAGCGAGATCGACATGCTGGATATCCGGGAAGTGTTCAGGACCAAGTATGAGAAGTCCCTGCACAGCATGATTAAGGTAAAAGGAGGGCACTGCTGGGAGAATACCCAGTAATTCAGCTTTGATCCCAACCACATACGTACGGGAGACACGTGGGGCCAGGGAATCCCATCCTCTCCCCATCTTTTGACAGTGTGAGGGGGGTGGCAGGGAGGTGGGCTTGGAAAACCAACAGGAGAACATTGGGGAGCTGTTGGGGTTGATTTTGGCTTTGTGAAAAGCTCTCGTCAGCCTCTTCTCTGACGCGCAGAACCCCTTAATCCCCACTCGCTGCTGAGGCAGCTTTAGGGAGAGACTCTCCGATGCTCCCTGGAATCGTCCCTCAGGCATTTTTGGAAGGCTCTGACTAGATTTTTTTCCCCTCCTGGTCTGGACACCCCCAGAACTGCAGTGAGTTCTGGGGTTCCACCGCCCCCGGCTGGCTAAAGCTCCTTCTAATATGTTACCAAACTGATTTGTTCCTGAATCCACAGTGTGGTGGATGGTGGCACCCCAACCGGCCCCCCTCTGTCTTGTGCCCTGGCTTCCTTTGGAGAATGCAGCCAGGAAATCCCCTCCCGCTCATGAGCTACTTTGTGGGACCCAGCGTCACGCCCCTCTCCGCCTGGGGGAAGCACATGACCTGCTCAAGCTAGACAACCCCGGCTGGGGCCTGGCTCCGCGATGTGGCTAGAGGTCTGCCCTGTGCACGCATGTGGTTTTAGCCTCTGCCTCTTCCTTTGCAGGACGACACGTCCGGCGAGTACAAGAAGGCCCTGCTGAAGCTGTGTGGGGGAGATGATGAGTAAGCACGCCCGCCATGCCCGCTGCCTACCTTGTACTGTCCCGCCAGCGTCCCTCGGGGTCTATGGGGAGGCCAGACTCTAGGCTCTCCAGCCTCCATGACTGGAGCTCCGTCTGGGGCCCTGTTGGAGGGTTTCCACTGCAGTCCAGGGAAAGGCACGGAGCGCTGGTCTGGTGCCAAAGTGGAGCATCCACATCATGGGCTTGATCCTCTGTCACTGACGTCAATAGGAGCAGGTCCCGTAGTCCACATGGTCAGCACAACCAGAGGGATTATAGTCCTGTCCCAATCCCCTCATTCCCCCTCCCTGCCCCCAATTGTTGCCTCTAGAAGCCCCTGTCAGACGTTGGCTTTGGGGGAAGCCCCACCTGAGCTGAAGCGTTTGTAGCTGCCCGGTCCGTGGGCTTGAGGGAGCTGCTGAAGGGGTGCCGTGGTATCCCGTATCTCCAGCTTGCACTGGGACGGGACCCCCTCCACATCTGCAGCTGAGTCACTCTCCCGCTGGTGATGTGCCAGCGCGAAACAGCCTCCTTTCATAGGAACTGCCCCTGAACGCAGCTGTAAAAACCCAACCCAGCTCCCCCCACCCTGCAGGGACGGGGCCATTGTCCAAACACATGTGAGCCCCAGCCTTGTTCACAGTCCTGCGGTCCCCCCAGTGGCACCCGATCGCTGCCAGCTGGGGGAAGGCAGGGACGCGAACGGGGGAGCACAGCAGATGCAGGATATGGACTAGAGTGGGTCCCATGCTGTAAGCAATGGTGGGGGGAATGCTTTGTCCTTGTCCCCCCAGTGCTGGGCGCAAGGAGCAGAGAAACCTCCCTGCCCTGTTCCTGGCCCACCAATCGCTCAGGTTATGGAGCCAACGCCTCGTCACCTACCAGTGTCCCAGAGCACAGGGAAGCAGCTGAACCGGCGATGCAGTGCACCCCGAGTCATGGCAATGCTAGCGTGAAAAACACCTCCGCTCCCAAGGCTCAACTCACCCACCCCATCCGGTCACTTTATCCTGACAATGCACAAAAGCCCCACTATTGTCTCAGCAGCTCTGGGTCATGCTAAGATTCAGGCTGTGGGGAAAGGGCTGCAGATTTGGGTTGGGATGCTGGCTGATCTGTCCTGAGGGGCATTTAGGGACTGGGTTAGAGTGGCACCTGATTTGCCCCCAGGGGCATTAGGAACTGAATTGCAGTGTCAGTTGATTTGGCTTGGGGGCATTAGAGATCGGGTGATGGTGTCGGCTGGTTTGACTTGGGGGCATTAGAGATCGGGTGATGGTGTGGGCTGGTTTGGCTTGGGGGCATTAGAGATCGGGTGA